AGGCTTGGCGAGGGACGAGGGGCTGGGGCGGCGGTGGGACTGGCCGTCGGGGTGCAGGCGTCTCGGGCAGGACTTCCCGGCGGTGGGTGCTCGGCCGCTGCAGAGGCGGGGTTTGACATCACGTTAAATATTTCCCTTGAGCTCCGATTTCCAACTGCCGGGGCATGGCCGGACCGAGGCGGCGGGCGTTTATCTAGGGCAAGGCGGAGGGCTGGCGGCACAGGAATGTCGGTGGAGGAGGGAAAGCCCCCGCGAGAAGCACCATGTCTCTGTAAGTACCTTTTCTCCCGTTCTTTTCCCTGCAGTTTAAGCAGCGCTGGGGGAACCGTGCGGAAAGGAAGGACATCCAGCTAGCACAGATTTGTGGTTTTTTCCTTCATCTGCTTAGTTAGACTTCTCCTGTTCTTTTCCCTGCACTTTAAGCAGCGCTGGGGGAACCGCACAGAAAGGAAGGACGTCCAGCTAGCACAGATTTGGTTTTTTTTCCTTCATCTGCTTAGTTAGACTCAGGTTTTAAAGTTTTCCCAGTTCCAAGCGTTGTTCCTGCGAGTGCGCAGAGGGCTGGGCAAGTTTCGGGAAGTAACCCTGAGGAGAACGCGGAGCCAGCAGCTCATTCCTGCACCTGGCTACGCACAGTTTTCCCTGCCTTAGGCTGAGCCAAGGGCGCTGGAAATGCTGCTGGCAGGTTGAGAGGTCCAACCGCTCCCTTTGTAGCTGTTTCAGAGTGAAGCTTGTGCCCAGCCCGCGTTTCGCACCCCGCGTGTCGGCTAGCTCGGGGAAAACGTGTGCAGATAGGTGGCTGAAGGAACGGGTTGCCAAGCCAGAGGAGTGGTGGGTGAGGACCCATGCGATCACTCCGGCAGGTAGCTCAGCGACACGAATCCCCTCATCTAATCCGTCTACCTGCTGTAGGTCCACTCAGGATTATTTTCCATGGTGTAACTTTTCCATTGCATGGAGGAGTTAGGTCTGAAGCGCACAGAAGGTGCAAAAATCCATTTTTGGGGCTTTGATAGTCTTTTCCTAGTACCATCCCATTTGGCAACAAAAGCAATGTCACCAAATCCTTCCTCGGGAGCTTGTTCGCGTTATGATTGTTTTCAAAATATAATAGTGTACTAACTCTCCCAGGCAATTAAAAGCATTGGAATCTCGTAATGTGCTCTTCCTAGGAAGTGACCACTGGAAGTTTAACCAAACTGATTGCAGAAGAGCTTTTTAACCCGTTTCCTTCAGCTCCTGCTTTGAAACACGGTGCCAGGCGAGTGGATGGACACACAGCAAGCGTTAATAGGTGTGTTCATACACAGGGGCAGCAGTGGGGTCCCAGGGGCACAGAAACAGCTGGAGGCTGTTTCCTGCAGCTGTTCCTGCAGATCCAGATGCGCTGACCGCGGTGGCAGTGGCAGGACCAACAGCTCAGGCTGGTGGCTGGCGACCAGAGGTGGCCTTCTCAAAGCAACGACGCACCCCTTCTGGTATTTCATAGTTTATTTCCTTTTCCCTGACTCAGGAGGTTTGTGAGTGTTTTGAACCGATGCAGGTGCTCCTTTCTAAAATGCATGGCCCAGTGGGTGTTTGCTAACCACCCTGACTAATATCAGATCAAAACTTGACTATTTACTCCAAAAGCCATCACTGCCTTGATTAGACCCTCCCTGCCCCAGCAAAACTGCTGCTGGGAGTGAGTCCGAGCCTTGGGAACAGTGTCCTTGGGTAACACTTGCCAAATGATAAATCACCCCCGGCCTAGACCTCATAAACCATTCAGCTGAGCACGGAAATGGTCAATGAACTGCTCTACAGGGCATTGGAAGCCCTTGGTTTAGGACAACTTGGGGCTTGCAGCTCACGGGGGATGCAGACGGGAGCTGGCAGGTGGGGAGGTGGGGGCCGACGTGTGCTCGATCCGAGCCCCAGCCCTGCCTCAGCCGGACGCGGATGCTCCAGAGACAGATGCAGCGTGTCCCGCAGCGAGCCATCGCTGCACCCAGCGGGGTCTTCCCTTCCCAGACCCTGTCCACTGGAGCTTGGCCGAGTGCCCAGATTAATCCTGCAAATCATTTAACACCCCGTTTTGCCCATATCTGAACGGGGAAACAAATCAGAGGGAGGGTTAGAGACACTTTATCCACTTTAAAGGAGCAAAAAAGGCACTCGAAGGGGATGCTTTCTCACCTCGCCTCCGAATAAACCCAATTTGCTCAGTAAATGAAGAATACCTCTGTGGGGATCACTTCTCACATTCTTCTGCAGTGGCTGGTCTGCTTCTGCAGCAGACTTGCTGTACTGACCACTTGGTCCAAGGCATCATTTTGGGGCAGGAGGTCGGGATTCTGGTCCCAGCAGCTTTGAGAGCTTTTGTGCTTCCCCAGGTAAATTGAGGGCAGAGAAGAGACCTTCCCCACCTCTTCTTCCGGCTCGTTACCCAGCCTGGAGCGAGCTGTCGCTCTGCTCCCTGCCTCAGTTTCTCCAGCTGTGGGAGAGGAATAACAGCCCACCACCTGCAGAGTGCTCCCGCCATCTCGGTCTGGCGTGTGAAGACTTGGGGGTTTAGGTTCGCAGAGGATTTGTTTGATCTAGAAATAGCAGGGTTAGAAAATTCCATCTGCCTGCTCTCGAGAGCCCTCGACAGCAGAAGAATTTCACTGCATCTCAGGCTTTGGGCCACGCCGCTGCCTTCCGGGGCAGCACGAAGGCGAGCGCTGAGCAAACCAGCGCTGTTTGGCTCCCGTCCTAAGGAGCAGCGTGAGCAAAACCACGTTCCAGAAGGGCTCGTTGGGGAGAAGAGTGCGCGGCACGTTTCCCTCCTTGCTCCCCCGCGCAAGGCTGTGCCCGTGGCTGATGCTGCTGGCTGCTCCCACCCTGCGCCTGGCACGGGCCATGGGGTCGAAGCCCGGTTTGTGCCACAGAAACCTTTGGGCGTAGTTCTGTGTCTCCATATAAATTGGTGCAGAGGCAGGTTAGGACCAGGGTCATGTCTCATGGCATCAATTTCCCTCCTGGATATTCACCTCCACCCGGCCACGCTCAGCCAGCATGGTGGTGGTTTTGGTGTCCGTGCTCTATCACGGACAACAGCTCCTTCCTCTTCCTCGGCTTGATCGTGGGGGACCGCAGGGGAGCAGCCAGGGCCGGGACAGCTCCTGCTGAGCCATAACGCACCGCTGCCATGTGCTACTCCACGCTGTGTCTATACTCACGACCCTGGCTCCTGTGTCTGCCACCACTGCTCCTGGCTGCGGTGGTAAGCATCAGTTCCTGGCTGGGGTGGGCTCGCAGACTCCTACTTTCCTGCCTGCCCTCAGGTGTCTGCGTGCACGCAAGGTCGGTGAGCTCCCTGACGAGCCGGAGGATGATTCAGAAGAGAGATGCAGGGGAACAGGAAGAATGAGCCCATCCTCTGCTGCCCTGGGGTGAGAGCCCGGCTCTCCCCTGCCATGGCGCCCTTGGGGTCTGAGTGCTTTCCCAACTGCTCTCACATAGAATCATAGAATCACAGAATGGTTTGGGTTGGAAGGGACCTTAAAGGTCATCTAGTTCCAACCCCCCTGCCATGGGCAGGGACACCTTGCACTAGACCAGGTTGCTCAAAGCCTCATCCAGCCTGGCCTTGAAGACAGCCAGGGATGGGGCATCCACTACATCTCTGGGCAACCTGTTCCAGTGCCTCACCACCCTCTCACTCCTCAGTGTCCGTCAGGGCTTCGGCCAGTGAAGCAGTGCAATTGCTGCCTGCCTTCCACGGTGCCTGGGGTCACCCCAGGGGCTTGAGCTGAGGCCCCTTTGCATGTTAAGCTAAACACAAAATGGTTATTACAAGCTCTTCCTCCCCAGCTGCCCAGGTCTTCTAATAAATGCGTGGTTTTCTCTAAATATTCTCCAAGTTTATTTTTAAAACAGTCTGCATTTGATTAAACTTTTGTTTTGTTCTTTTTTCAAAAGGAACTTAAAAGGGCCATCAGCCTGTAAACATAAATATTCCCATTCTTTTGCTGATTCTTTGCATTTTTCTGGGTTTCCTAAGGAAAGCTACTTCGGCAGCGCAAGTCTCTGTGATGTGGGTAGCATCCTCTACTCCCACTTTCAGCTCAGGCGCTGGAGCCCACGGCATGCAAGCAAGAGATTAGCAGAGGTCAAGCACTTTTTTGGTGCGTAGGTGTCTTCCGTGGTGCCTTGCGTTCACTTTTACAGTCACCCAAACCCTTCTTACAGCTGAGCAACGTCTTGAAACTGGCAACAAAGCAGGTAGTGGTGAACGTAGGAGGTGCTGCGGCTTGTTGCATTACTCGTCTGCGTTTATGAGCGCTGCCAGGTATCCCTGCCTCCGATTACGGTGGTGCCGCACGTCCCGACACTGGCCACGGCTCTTTCCCCTGTGCCGAGGTGGTCAGCCCCATCTCATGGTCTCAGTAGGGAAGGGTGTCTCTTGAAGATCCAGTCACCTGTCTCAGATGTGCCAGTGTCACAGCCGTGTCGCCGACTGCAGCCACCGATGGTAACTCACGGCTATGTTTCTTTCTTCCTCCTCTTCCTGCAGGTCATAACTGAGTAGCCCTTATGACCAACATGAGCTGGAGCTTTCTCACCCGCCTGCTAGAAGAGATTCACAATCACTCCACCTTCGTGGGGAAGGTCTGGCTGACCGTGCTCATCGTCTTCCGCATCGTCTTGACAGCGGTGGGGGGGGAGTCCATCTACTCCGATGAGCAGAGCAAGTTCACCTGTAACACCAAGCAGCCCGGCTGCGACAACGTCTGTTACGATGCCTTTGCGCCGCTGTCACACGTCAGGTTCTGGGTCTTCCAGATCATCGTGATCTCCACCCCTTCGGTCATGTACCTGGGCTATGCCATCCACAGGATCGCCCGGTCGGCGGAGGAGGAGAAGAAGTTCAAGGGCTTCAAGAAGAAGAAGCAGTTTGCTCTGAACTGGCAGGCGGTGCGTAACATGGAGGACCCCATGGAGGCTGACGAAGAGGAGCCCATGATCTCTGACGACGCGGCAGAAAAAGAGAAAGCCAAAGCCAAGCCCAAAAGCAAAGAGCAACAAAAGCACGACGGGAGGAGGCGCATCCAGCAAGAAGGACTGATGAAAATCTATGTCTTCCAGCTGCTTACCAGAGCTTCGTTCGAAGTTTGCTTCTTGATAGGGCAGTACTTGCTCTACGGGTTTGAGGTAGAAGCCTATTACGTCTGCAACAGAGTCCCTTGCCCTCACACTGTGGACTGCTTCGTGTCCCGGCCGACTGAGAAGACCATCTTTCTCCTGGTGATGTACGTCGTGAGCTGCCTCTGCTTATTGCTGAACATGTGCGAGATGTTTCACCTGGGGTTTGGGACCATCCGAGATGCCATTCGCAACCGGAAAATCAACAGCTTTAGGCAACCTCCTTACAACTATGCCTACCCAAAGAACATCTCCTGCCCTCCTGAGTACAACCTGGTCGTGAAATCAGAGAAGCCCACCAAGATCCCCAACAGCCTGATGGCTCATGAGCAGAACTTGGCTAACGTGGCTCAGGAGCAGCAGTGCACCAGCCCGGATGAGAACCTCCCGGCAGACTTGTCCACCCTTCACAAACACTTGCGAGTGGCCCAGGAGCAGTTAGACATAGCGTTTCAGAGCTACAGCAGCACCCAGGCCAACACGCAACCTTCTCGCACCAGCAGCCCCGCCTCGGGTGGCACGGTGGTAGAGCAGAACAGGGCCAACACCGCCCAGGAGAAACAAGGTGCTAAGCCCAAGGCCTGCTTGGAGAAGGGGAGCTCGAGCAGTAAAGACGGAAAGACATCTGTATGGATATAGCTGGAGCGAGGGCAGCATAAGCGGGGGTTTATTTTGGTTTGTTTCTGGTTTTCGGTATTGTCTTGCGTTTTGTTTCACAGGGCACAGTTTTTATAAGGAAGCCAAGAGAGAAAAGGAGTTTCAGTTCAATTTAGTGCTGTCTTCCAGTGCATTAACAAAACACAGTTCTTCCCTCTTCCCAACACGTTCTCCAGCTGGGAACCTCCGGTGGGCAACAGCAAACTCCCAGCATCTCCCAACCCTTTGGTCACCACTGGAGACCCCAGCAGAGACCAGACAACATGCCGTGATGGGAAGTGGGAGCTGCTGGTGGCTCAGGAGAGCAGTCAGGCCAACGGCGAGCAGTTCCCCTTCTGCATGGCGAGGCTGGAGTGCTCTAGGTCGGGCAGTTTAATTACTAAATATCCTTAGTCAGAATTAACTTCTGATCCCTTGATGAGAAGACAACTGACCTCTTGCATGAACCTTCACAACAGGCTTACCGCTGATGTCCTGCCTGAATTGTTCTAGCGGGCATGGCTGGAAATAAAGGCAGCAGAGGTGCCTGCTGCGAGCCACGAGCTTGCACCCACATCAGGTCATGGGGCAGAAACACAACGACTGTCCTCCACAGGGAGACCTAAAAGCAGAGCACAGCACCGAAGGTTTTAGTCTTTTATTCCCCTTTATTGCGCCGGAGCAAAAAGCAAACACGCTCGAACACTGCGCAGCAGGAGCCAGCAGTGACACTGCGTCATCACGGTGTCGGTGTAGCCCTCGCTACAGGAGTGATGGGAATCGTTGCAATTCCAGCGTTCTTAACCAAGCGCTGCTTCACATCATCAGAAAGTGCCTTTATGCAGCTAGGAAAAAAAAATTCATAAAGGTTTAGACTTTTTTATTTGCTGAATTTTAGTAGAGGTGGGAAGGTTGGTGGTGGCAGATTTGGTTGGGTGTTTAATCAAACCCTTATAAATCGTGGCAGGCGGCAGGTCTGTGCAGAGTGTGTATGTGGGGCATGTGTGTACTTATATATACAGGCACATACGGACGCGTGTGTGAATATAGACATAGAGAGATATACATAAATGTAATATCACCCCCCTGGTTATTTTACAGCCTTCCGTCTCCCCTGGGAAAACCCAGCTGGTCCAAGACTATGGCTGATCTCATCCTGGAGCAGTCCTTGGGCTTTTTAGCCTCCAGTCTCCCGCAGGAGGTTTCACACACTTGCTTGGGGGGCTCAGCAGAAGATCTGGCTTCAGTGGGAACAGGACCAGGACAGTAGCAGGAAGTTTTTCACTAGTTTATGGGGAGCTTTTTGAGCTTGGCTTGGTTTTAGGGTGGTTTTCATGCAGCTACAGGGGTCTGGGGGCACGTTAAAACCAAGTTGCTGAGCTCCAAGGCTCCTGCCAGTGCTGAGGATGTGTTTTGTCAGGGTGGTTTCGTCTCCTGCGCAGCTGTGGGGCTGTGGCTTTGTTCCCTTCTAGTAACACAAAAGAGAAAGAAAACCTCATCACTGAGAGCACAGGGAGCATTACCTG